ACTGAAATAAGTTGATAAGCACCTTAAATAAGCTTTCCCAAACACCCCCTTACTTCTTTATAGAGTCCTGTCCAAAAGAATTTTCAGTGACTATAGAAGCTGACTGTGCTATAGTTAGGATACTTGATGCTGATTCAGCTGCAATCGAGGTAGTATCACTGTTCTCTAGGATGCCTGATGCTGATTTAGTTGCAGTTGTGGAATGGCTGGTTATTGGAAGTCTAAGACAAGTATGTACTCCTTTGTAAGTGATTTCCACGATACATTGGTCATCAAAAGATCTTTCCACTCGCTTCTTTACATTGCAATGTCTGCATTTGTAATATGCTCTGCAGGTTCAAGAGTATCATTGTAATAACCCAAATACAAATTTCGTAATACTAACCCAAATACAAATTTCGTAATACTGTGAGAGTGCGGGGGTGGTATGGTAGAGACTTAAATGCTTGGAGGACCTTTTGTGCAATTATGGAATTTATACGTCATTCAAGGTTATACACCTCTTTTAACCTAGCCTACTTCTCCCATTTAGAAGGAATTGGTCTTTGGTTGAAGCTTTGAATGAGGAATGATTCTAGAAGAAGGGATGGTCAAATGATGCAAGTCTGAAGAAGAAAAAAGATTGGTGGACTCTCCATTTTCAGGTATGTACTTCAGATTTTATTCTTTTAGGACTTCCATTGCTTAGGATTTGATGGCTTCTTTGGGGGGTTTTGATTTGGAGATTTATTGTTGTTGAAATGAGGATTTTGTGGTAAAAAACCTTCTTTGGGTTTGAATCTAGCTATGATTTGAGGTTTAAAATCGGTTTACTTTGGTGATTCATGGAGTTTGATTAATCATCTTTGAACTTGGGATTTTCTAGGTTAGAAGTTTGATTATTAAATTTTGGGTCGAGTATATGGAAGATTGATTGTGTTTAGTTGTTTAAATGTGTTCTGGTATCATTTTGGAGGTTCAAATACGTTGGGTTTATGTTCGGTTATCTTCGGATGGGATATTAAGGATGAGAAATTGGGTTTTGAGGTCAAACTGTGGATTTTTGGAGTGTTCCAGGCCAAACAGGACCAGCGGGAATCAGGTCATGTAAGAATTGTTCACGCGTTTTTCAACTTTTTCGATTTCGTTGTGGGTTCAGTTTGGGGCATTGTTTAGAGGTTCTATTTAGAGGGTTATAGAAGAGGATTAGAATGATAACTATGAATTATGAGGGTTTAACGCCTTTCTTAATCCCATTAATTCAGGTGGTCAGTTTGGGAAATTGTAGTATTTAGCGCATATCCTTGTGCATTTGGACCGGAGATGAATTTTGTGTACCAAACTCTTATTAAATTGCAAGACTTGTTTGTCGGTAACTTTTGAGATAATGAAATGTGAATAGATTATATGATAAGTATGCACGTTTAATGTCTTCCATTGATGCTTTTATGTGCGTAAAGTCCTTTTGTGTGGCATTTACCTGGATGGGATCAACAGGTGATCAATAAGGCTCATGGTCTAGGTTGGTGACCTCCGTTGCATTTAGGAGGGGTGTTTGCCTAAGGTCGACCCAAGTAGTTGATCCTACGTTGTAAGTACTCTCTGTGGTAGTCCTTAAAGATGGAATTGGTTCAGGTAGAGTCTACATTCATCTTGAGTATCAGGATACCAAGTTTGGTTGTCTTGAAAGTGCTTAAGATGGAATGCAGTCCAAGTAGAGTTTGCATTCATTTTAAGGGCGGGAGTCGAGTTTGGCTAAACTTAAGATGGAATGTAGCCCAAGCAGAGTCTGCATTCATTTTAAGTATGTGGCCAACTGGTGTTGAGATGAAATGTAGTCCGGGCAGAGGCTACATCCATCTTGGTGTTTGATTATCTGGTTTTACCGTTTACATTATAACATTGTTTATTCTAACATTAGCTACAAGAAATTCACTAGACCTTTTAGTCTAACCCATGTTTACAAAACTAAAACCTTTCAGGCAGCATTCAGGTTGAGGGTTCTAGCACAGGCAAGGGCAAGGTGTAGCCTCAGGTTAAAAGGTTGCATAGGAGTCATTCTGCTGTTAGTAGTTATTTATTTTCAGTTGTGGATAGAAACTTGTTACAGTTTGTTGTAATGATCTAGTGGTGGTTTCACTGCAACATTTAGGAATTTTTTTTAGTCGACTTGAATTTAGGACCCAGAAATTACCTTTTTGTTTGTTATTTGGCATTGGTTAAATTTTGAATTTGAGATTGTTGCAATTATTATGATTTCCTTTCTTTAATTTTCAGATATCAGATAACTCGTATTTGGATAACTATAATTATAAGTAATGTCAAGTACTTTGAAGATTCAACAGAAGAGGATACAATAAACGTAATAAGGAAAAGCTCACAATTTGGCTGGCCACATCCATGTTTTGAATGACTAGGTTTCAAGTTGGTGAAAGTGAAATATACAAACCAAAAGGTAACACAAAATGAAAGTAGCAAGTGAATTATGATAACTCCAGTATAGTATTTTTTTTAACTTATCTTTTGAAAAGGATAGGTTTATAAGAACTAGTTATAGCCTAATTCAAACCCAGTTAAACCCTTTTTGCTGAGATGAAAGTAACTCAGATAGATCACCAAGCCACATCTTTAATGTCAAGCATGACATTGGATGAAAAACAGGAGGTCAAGTAAATAAAACTCAAACATGTGCAAAATAAGTTTTTCATGATTAGAAGTATAATCAAGTCCATCCAACAAACTAAGAATAACTAAGGTAAAGACTATAGATGTACCTGAAATCTGCACCTTTAATTCGTTTAATCCCATACTTACTCCATGCATAACCATCATCAGGTGGTTTGTCAAATCCAGTCTTTAGGATAATTTTTACTTGTGTGGTACACTCAGCATTCCTGGTATTTCTGCATACAATTGCTTCTATCTGTCAGATATATATATATATATATATATGTATATATGTATGTATGTATGTATGTATGTATGTATGTATGTATGTATCATTTACCTACTTTGCATATCATTCATCCTCATTTTTCTTTAATAGAATAGCTAAGCTTTTTTAGAGTATTATACTCATTATATATGGCAAATACTCATGAACTCTCCTCACCTTTGGTGAGGGTTGAACCCTTAACCTCTTAAGAGGCTGGGCTCTACCAGAAACTCGGTACTGCTGAGCTAATGACCTTCTGGTGAATAGCTAAGCTTTCCGAGAACCATATGTTGCATGGTATCTATGTTGTTGCCTTAGCCCCGCAAATCAGTGACCATTTATTACCACCTAGCTCCACCTCACACCATGGCTCTACCTCACTCCACCTTATGTCATCGCTACACTTCCATAAGGATGTTCAAGCAATTTTCATGGATGACATTTATTTTACCTTGTCTATAAAACATAACTATGAGGAAACCAACATAAACATCTGTGTAAATATAGTAATACATAGTACATACATGTAATGCAAGGGGTCAATGGTGTGGCTTCTTGTTGGAGGCAAATTATACACACACATATTTGATGACTTACTTTTTCTTCAAGTCCAATGACTGAAGGCGTGTTGGATTTTGGAAACTACTATCATTGATTGTAGAAGCTGATTCAGTTGCAGGTGATGAATCTCTGGTTCTTACAGTTCTAGCAGCTAATTCTGTTGCAGTGGAGGAACAATTGGTGCTTAATATTCTGGGGCAAGTGTGATTTCCGGAGTAAGCGACTATAAAGAAAGATGGGTCCTTGGTAGACCTTTCAACTTGCTTCGTTGCATAACAATTGTGTAAAATTTTGGAGTTGCATCTGTAATATTGTCTGCAAATTTACAAGTATTGTTATGAGTTTGTCTCTTTAAATATCAAGCATGGTTAAACCGGGAAGAAACTTGGAATTAGTATACATAATCACAAGTATATCTTCACATAAACTATTTACATAGAATACAGGAACAAGGAAAATGATCATAAAGTGGCTTGTGCATCCATCTAATGAACCACTTAAAACATATAGGAAGAGCCCCATACCGAAAATTAAAACACTCAAAATCCAAAACTAAAAGGTGATATGTGGGTCTGTGAATAATTATGATGTCCTATATATGTATATGTATGTATATATGTTTAGAGTCTTACATCGGCTACATGTGGACCATTTCTCCTCTATATATGTTGGAACCTCCCTTCTCTCCTCAAGGGCTCTTTGTAGAGTAATCTAATGGGGTTCACATATTCTTGCATAGTGTCAAAGTTAAAGTCTACCACTCTATTTTGAGAGTAATTTAATGGGGTTCCACATATGCTTACAATGTGTGTATATATGTTGAGGGAAATTCAGGGGAAAACCCCCAAAAATGTGCATACAAGTGAAGCTGTTTTTATGGTTTTTATGTATGTATGCATACCAGACAAATTGCTTACAAATTACTTGAATGCACATGTGATACAGTCCAAATGAACAGTTATCAGGGTATCCTCAGTTTTTCATTTTTTTTGCGGTTTTTCCCAGAACGTGACCCTATATATGTATATGTGTGTGTATATATCATATCTAAAATCTAAATATAGGTGAATGTTAGATCAAACCAAAACCCTCTATGAGCATTGATAACTCTCATATAGACAGTTATTTATCATAGACTAAAACCAAGATTGCCACCAATTATTTGAGTAAGGTTGTCTCATTTCGGCTAATTTGTAGTTAAATGACATCTTTTAGATTAGTTGTTCGCTTTATTCATTTCGGGTAATTTATCAGAGCACAACTTAGAATTAGTTAATATTATCTTTCTGCAACTAGGCATGGGAATGAGGCGGGGAACCTAATCCCCACCCCTGATCCTCCCAATCTATGTCCCTATCCCCAATGGGGAATCGGGGATTGTTTTTCCTGTTTATGTAAGATATTTTAAATCAAATGTCTTAAACACCACACTCGATCCAAAATGGTCCATATCTAAATCTCACGTATTTCCAAAATTTTGCTTTTATGGAGTATAAAATATTCATATGTGAACAAAATCACAACATCATACGTAATTGTTTGAACAAACGTTTTCGCTCTCCATGTTTTTTATCTAAAAAAATCAAGACAAGTGAGAAAAAAGGTCAAAATACTCTTTCTAAATGTAGAAGATACTAAATCTAATTATTTTCGAACAGCTTTTAATTTTTAGGAATTGTAATCCAGTTTACTATATTTCTTTAACTTCCTGCACATTTACCAATTTAGTTTTGTTCTTAATCTAGTTTGAAATGACAACAGTTGTTCTTCTATTCATTTTGATTACTTACTATAGTCATGAGCTAAATCACTCATTACTTGGGTATGAATGAACCTTTTTTGAACCTGGTTAACTGCATAAAAATATGTATAAGCATATGTTTTACTGGATAAAAGTCTGTATCATTGAGCCTGGCAAGGATGACCAATTCGATTTCTGCTGGCAACGAAGAAACAAGGCTACGTCAACAGCCAACAGGCACAGGCTATAGCAATTCTGCACTGTACTAAAACTCTAAGGGGATTTCCATATCCAAGTATTTTGAAAATCTTCTAATACTATCATTTAAAATCTTGAAATTGCTAACCAACTGACTTCTCACTCTTACTTTATGCAAAATTCCCATTGTGTACAATATCTCGTTTTTACCGCTTTATTACTCGTTGACAAAGTGTAACGCTGTGTATACTTGTGCAAGCTTTATCATTTGCAAACTCAACATGTATTCAAGCAAAGTTTATGTAATAGATCTGAATTCTGAAAAATGAATGAGATGTGAAATGAATAAACCTGAAAATTTACGTGAAGTGAGTTCCCATATACAGCAGGATAGTTTTGTGAGCATTCTTATATGCTAAAAGAGCAGTAAGGAAAAAGTTATAGATATACCTGGGGTATTTGCTATTAAGAATCTTCTTTTCACCATATTTCCTCCAAACATAACCATCATCGAGGGGTTCTTCAATGGCTATCCTCTTGATCACTTTTGCTTGACGCCTCCTCTTATAGCATCCCCTTCTGCAAACAGTTGCTATATATTACATATCTGCACATTTTATCTTGCCTTCTCTTCTATTTTTAAGCTATATTGATGTTATATTGCATATCTACATAACCTACATATACATACATATAAATACATGCATATATATATATACATACATACATACATGCATATATACATACACACACACACACACACACACATATATATATATATATATAGTTGTGCATACTATAATCACATCAACAATGTTTTTCTTCAAGTGGGATATCATCTACACACAGACATATATGATGACTTACTTCTTTAGAAAAGCGTCTTTGTGAAAGGGAACGTTACAATCGCGGTCCTTATCTTCATTTTGCAGCTTGCCACTCGCAGGACATGGTGAGTCCCACAACCTAACTGCTGTTCCAGCATATTGTGACTGGGTGTCATCATCAGAGTTGAGGATCTTCTGAGTTGACATTTCTCTGGTTTCATCAAAAAAGGGCACATTGTGATCAATCTGAAGCTGCTCAACTTGTTCCCTGATTTCAGTTAAACCCGGGTGATCATCCCTTGGTGAGTTTTCATCCACTTGCAAAGAGCTACCTAAGGATTGACACGGAAAAGAAAATTACCAAGTTGTTAATGATAGGGCTGGGTGGAAATGGAAGTGGAGAGTGCAAATAACATGCACTATTATGTAAGAGAATGTGTAATGTGCCATGTAGAAACGATTCAACTTAAGCATAACATCCAAGACTGGAAGACTCGAATACAAGTTGGAAGCTATAATAGTTGAATACTCACTGAATGAAACTTACCAGGGTGTGTAGGGACCATCGGAAGCTCGAGAAAATGTTGGAGAGAGTTTGTATCTTCTGCTAATTGATCCATTAAACCTCCATCTCTTTTAATTTGTACAAAGACACTGTTCCACGTCAATTTTCCATATTTCAATGCATCCCACCATTCAGTTTCTCCTTTAATCRCCTTYGTATGTCTAGRTAATTCCATGATGGAAAGATAGTCGAGACTCATGCAATTRAAAACCAGTAACGTATCTAATTGTGGTGCAATGCAGACCCCACTAGAAATACTCACCAGCTCAGGTAGGTCCAGAAGTGATACTCTCTTTAAGTTTGGGAGAAACGGACCTTTACTCCAAGAGGTGGCCTCCAGAGTTACAAGGCTTTTGACCTTGGGGCAGTCTTCAACTATAAGTTCAGTTAAGTTTTCGAAATTATCAAGCAAACATCCCACAAAAATGCTAGTCAGCTCAGGGCAAGTATGCAGGGCTAAAATTCTTAGACAGGAYAGACTCTTTTTGCCRATTGGTCCCATTGAAATCCTTTGTAACTTCTTCATGARGTGAAGGGCCAAGAATTGCAGCGATTCAAGTATGACGTCTTCACCMTGGTTAGTGGCTTTATTTMTGTCTTCATATACATCSTCTTGATGGACGAGGGTTTGCATCTCATTACACTCCATKAGCAAGCAATATTTCAGCCTCCTTATGTCAAATACTGAGAGCTTCTCAATAGTCCAATGGCGGCGTAAGTATAAAGCTCTAGCTTGTCTAATTAACTCTGCATTTTCATCCATGCATCCCTCACCATTCATATATTTTACACATTTCTCAAGTTTCAAGAAATTTTCTTCCATATCAAGTTGCACAGAAAATGGAAGTTGTTCACATTTACCAATCATAAATCTAAAGTTCCACAAACCTGAAAATATCGGTACTTGATACCTTTCAAGCCTTAGGAACTGTTGCACTAATTTAGTAGTTGGTAAGCACAACTTTAGAGTATTGAGGTCGGGTAAGACAAGAAGATCATGCATAATAGCTTCCAAAACTTCAACCTCCCACCATTTAGCTTCTGGATCCACACTGATACTTAACTCCTTTAGCTTAGTGAGCTTGGAGATTGTCTTCCTTGGAATTATGTGCTCTATGTCATTTCTGTCTTTATAGTCATCTGCATATGCAGACAAAGACACCCTTAAACATTCCAAAGTCTCTAATTTGCCGATTTCTTTTGGTAGATACATGATCTCAGTTCCTTCGAGATCAAAGACCTTGAGATTCTTAACTGCTCCAATTTCAGGTGGTACTTCTATTAAAAGTGAACATTCTCGCAAGATAAATTCTTCAAGTAGACATAACTTGGAAATGGATGGAGGTAAAGATTGTATGCTTGCATGAGACAAATCTAGCACTTTAAGGACTAGCACATGCTCAAAGAAAGAGGGTGGTAGCATTGTCAAGCTACTTTTCTCCTGTAAGAACAACTTCGCCAATTTGGGGGAAGGTGGAACTTCTGGGGTCAAGCGAGAGGTAATGGAATTGTCAAAGTGCACTTCATCCGCATCAGAATTTTTACCAATTAGAGACTCCATTGATCTTGGTTAACCTATGGCTTCACACAAACACAATATTGTTCACTAAATGATCGAGTCAATAACTCAAGTTTCCTGTTAGTGCCTGCACATGGCAATGCAAATAGACCATCAGTGCATGGTTCTTGTGCGTGATTGTTCAATGGTGGTGTGGACCAATCAATGGAAAGGGGACAGATGTGGAACCTTAATTTAGAGAAGCATGCCCATCAAAAACAAAAAAGAAAATCAACAACAATTGGAATCCAAGAGAACATACCTTCCTGAATTGAGATCTTCAATTCATAGGAATTGGAGTTTAGAAGCACAATCAGCAAAAACATGTGATAAGGTCAAGTCAAGTGCTGAAAACAAAAAGAAAGAGCATCTTTTTGAGACTTCAGCGGCTTGCTGGGAACATGCAATTTTCTTGAATATCTTATCATTTGTTACCACCGAAAGGCTCAATAATTCATGTCCAAACAAATCACTTTTTATTTCGGAAAAGTCTAAAAAAAACTCAATGGACTTTAGTATGATTAAGTTGTTGAACAATTTTTTGGAACAAATAAGTCTGTTAAACAACTCCTTAGACTTTCTAAAACTTGTTAGATACATCTTCATGACCTATAAAACTAATTAACGTAGTAAAATAATGGAAAAAAAAATCAATGAACATTCATGTTTTGAGCGATAAAGTCCCTAAACATTTTTTGAGCCAAAAAAATACCTAAATTATATAAAATAAAACAAATATACCAAAAAAGTACTTATAATTTAAAAAGATTATTGATGAAATTTATTTTAATTAAAAATAAAAGATATTATGTCAGTGATTTTTAAAATTAAAAAAATAAAAAAGATTTAAAAAGGATTACTGATTATAT